GGTAGAAAATTTGGTAATTTATTTGGGATCCATAGCATTTTCCTTTCATGTTTTTTAACATTCGATACTACAGAAAATGAAATTGAACGAAAAGCATTTTTCACAATTAACAAGAAAATATACTATTTGAAAAGAAAATGTTCTTTGAAAAATGTTTTTCACATTAAAATCTTAATCAGGTTTCTACACTACCATTACCACCACCACTAATATAATCACTATTACTTTAATTTTAAGGTTGAACAGTTCTTTGTAAAATAGATTTTACTGAAACAAATGGAGTGTATTTGATTTCGGTATACATTTTCTGGGGATTGAATGTAGTGTTAATTGGGTTGAAACTAATATTTATTGGATAGTTTCCTATGTGCTAGTTTTGATTTGAAATTGAATTTATTGCAGGTGGGAAGTAGTAGATCCAAAGAATGGTGTGGAGTATGATCCATTTCCAGTCCCAAAGAAGGGTCTCCCTGCCAAGTTTCTCAAAGACTCCTGATCTTCCCTTCTCTCTTTCTCTCTCCCCCCTTTTTTGTTGGTTTTTTTTTTTTTTTTCTTCTAACAGAGACTCAAAACAAAGACAATAACATAATTGCAAAAAAAAAACACACACACACACACACAAAGCATGGAAGAGAAGCCCAAAAAAAAAAAATAGAGAAGAAGAAGAAGAAGAAAAATAAGACATGTGCTTGCTTATACAAACTACTGCCATTCTCATTTTTGCATTATTCCATGTATGAAGCAAAAATAAAAAGAAGGAAGCAAGAAAAAAAAAAAAAAAAAAACCCAAACAATTCAGAAAGCACCCAGCCTTGTCACAAAGTATGTCGACCTTCACCTCCACTCGAACTATGGGATCACCAAGTTTCTCATAAACTGAGGATCCAAAGGTACCTCATTTCGGGTTCCATGGTCACAAACATGGTTCGCCATTCTAGTGATGTGAACATGTTCATGGCCTTCAAATACAAGCTCGGATCCAGGGCCATTGATTTTAGGATGTCCATTCAGGCTGAAACTGAGTACGCATCAGATGCCCCAGCGTTTGCCTCTGCTCGAAGGTAAAACTGTTCACCTGCGTCACATGAACATTGCCATGATTGAAGTGCATCATCCATTCTTGGGTTCTTGTTGGACTGACCATGCCCACTAGACTTACGCTTACCTCCGGAAGTGCAAGATTCATCTACTATGCCTTTCCTTGATGTATATGCATGAAAGCGTTCATCCATTTCTCGTTCGTCATCAGATGTAGGTGCACCTTGACGAGAAGAACGGGCAAATGGTCTAGTGGCAAATGACTTGGCAAATATTTCTGATATTAGCTCATAATGTTCAAGACCTTTGGTTTGGAATTGTTTTGCATTTGGGTGTGCCTACAAGTTGTAAACATTAATTAATCATTAAACCAAAATTCTCTATACACATGGTTGTGGTAAATGTATGCACCAAAACAATTACCTGAACATAATTTTCCCAAGCATCTTCTATGGTAGTCACTGTTTGAGTTATTGGATCCCAGCCCAATCCCGTGTGATTTTTTAGAGCAACAAACTCTTTGTAGTTTGCCTTCAAACGCGCGAACTTACCCTTCAATTTTTTTAGCCCAAAATTTTTTCCAACCTTTTTAGTCATCTCCTCATCAATTGTTTGCCACTGCTTTGGGTAAAAACTTCTATCTTTCTTTGACATCCGAGGACCCTCTTTCTAAATTTCATCCAACAATATTTCTAAAAATATCTTCACATTTTCAAACCCCCACATCTTAAAGTCGTCAATATCGTTAGCCATTCTAGCCTAATACAAGTGCAACATATGTATGTTTATAGTTAGTTGCCTTTAGCAAGTTCAATTCAGTCATACACCTTAAACCAATTGCAACACAATTACAAAAATAAGAAATTAAAAGCACATCAAAGTTGTAGGTGTAGTCACTTCCACATACCACTTATTTAATGAGAATGAAGTATGTGAACAACTTAGTTTAATAAATCTGGTGCAATGAGTTCCACATAGCATTGTGTTTGGCAGTAAGTGAAATGAAGTATATGCATAAGAAAAAGGAATAAATTTGTGGCAGTGCAGTGTCCCTGAACAAAAAATGCAAACTTAAATTAATAAGCCATTATTACCAAAATCCACAACTGATAAGCACCATTATAAAGGCCATTAGCAATATTTAATATGAGCTTTGGCATGCAAAAGTTTACCGGATAAGGACAATCGTTTTCAGCAGTGGAGGAATTGACTGATGGTTGAGGAGATCTCTTTCTCTTATTTTTTGGTGCATTGAACAATGACCAAGGAGTACGTAGTTGGCCTGAAACATTGCAGAGAAATAGTTTAAATAGGAAACAAATCAAAATCTTGGTCCTTAACTAAAAGTTAGATTAGCTTGCCCTTTGAACATTTTGACATCTTGGTCCTCAACTAATATATTTTATATATAAATAAATAAGTTCAAAATTCAAAATTCACTTACTTTGATACTGGTTTAAAAGCAAAATTTAAAATTCACTTACTAATATATTTGCCTTTGATACTGGTTTAAAATAAAAATCCACTTACTTTTCATTCTATAAAACTACCTTTTTATCAAATTGAGATCATGTGGCCTTACAAATTGGCCTGTTTATCAAATTGGCCTTATTTGCCTTAATTTTTTTCCCTTACAACTACTTGTTTATGAAATTTGCCTTATAACTACTTGTTTATCAAATTTGCCTTAATTTTTTTCCCCTCTTCTAATTGAGATCATGTGGCCTTACAACTACCTGTTTATCAAACTATCAAACTATCATGTGGTCTGTGCATACGTTTTCTCAAAGAAAAGAAGCAGAACATGAGGTGGTTCAAATACGCGTTACAGAGTGTAATGAAAAGGGAAGAAAATAGGTTTGTCACAAAAAATATAAGTTAGATTACAATAATGATGTATGCAAATGTTGTATGGTATACGGTGTTTGGATGCATAATCACAAATTTATTGGCTCATAATCTAATTTAATTTTTTAGGAGACAACACTTTCTTAAATAAGTAGAAGACATGACAAGAATAAAGGGCATCCATAAATGGATAGCACAAACATTAAAGCTAAATTATGGAAAACACACTAAACACCATATGGAACCCAACGACACTAAACAACAGCACAAGCAACCACATTCTTCCTAGGAGGCCAAGTAAACTCTGATGCCTCAATCCTTATCAAGACATCCCTTAAAAGCTCAGGAGGCATATTTGCCCAACCACTTTGCTTCAAAGCATCAACCAACACCACCAAAGTATCCTGAACCACCTGGAGCGACCTCGACTTCAATCCATACCCAAATTTCACATCAAACCCTTTTCTAGAAATGCTTCCCAATTCACCCTTCACGTCCTGAATTATACTCTTAAAGGACATCTTAACACTTTCTTTCTCAGTCTTTACATCAAACAGTTTATCTACAACAAACAGTGTTTACTTTTTTCAGTCTTCACATCAAACAGTCTTTAATTTATTGGCTCATAATCTGAGTTAATTACAACTTATTCATTTACCTTGATCAATTTCAACAAAACAAGGACATTACTTAGCTTGAGAAAAAATCGAACAATGCTCAGCTTGAGAAAAAAAGCAGACAGTGCTGTGTAAAATTTTTGAAAATTTACCGATTGGGAAATTTCACCACAAATTGACAAACTCAAAGGCAGTGACGAAAAGATAAGCCATGGGAACTTTGTAAACCAAAATCAGTCAACACATTGTTCAAAACTCATGTACCAAATGAAATTTCAAAAATAAAATAAAATTATTCGTTCAACACAAATACCTCTTGCTTGCCTGCTTTTGGTGGCCCTCAAATCCCACCCTCTACAACGACGTTTTGAGCACAGCCTCTCAGTTTTTGCAGCGAATGATGAAGTTATGCTTCGTCTTGGTGGAGTTTGAAGCTGGTTGGTTCGCATTTTATAGAGCCCACAAGAAAAAAATGATGGACATTAATATTACAAGTCTAGATTGTGTGAAGATTTAACTCAGTTTGACTAAGACCAAAGCTAGGGCAAGATTTGGGGAAATCCGTGAGGAAGACAAGTTGTAGCTATTCAAAGAGGACTCGTACGAGTAGATGCCCCCTATGGCCTCAAGCCTGTGCGACACAGAGATGAATGAGGTGATAAACAGTGTTGGTGCATCTATAGCGGAAGATTTCTCAAATCTTGAACAGCGTACTGATGGGGGGAAGACAAGTGGGTCTCTTCGAAGGCACTTGGGCGAGTACAGATCTTGGCCTACAGGTGTGAATCGTCTTCTTTGACACAGCCAAGAGAGAGCCGTTGGAATGCCTCTGGAGGAATTTTTTTTGTATCAGAGAGATAAGGTCAGAAAGGTTCTTTTGAGAGAGAGAAGTGAATGATAGAAGATGCGTATAACTTGTGTTGGGAACCATCTTTTTTTTCTCTGAGATGAGTCTTCAGAGAATATTTCAGAAATTTGTTTGCCAAACGCGTTGTGGTACTTTTTTCTCTCAAAAACTGATTTTGAAATACAAACCAAACAAGCCCACTATCTCTCATACACATCAATCTATCACTTTTTCTCTCTCTCTCTTCTCTCTTACTTAATCACTTTTTCTTTTACACACATCTACTCAACTACAACAAAATATTAAATCATCTCAAATTCTGATACTCCAAACCTATTTTCAAAATATACAACCAAACAAACCAAAAAAATTTCTAAACTCACTTTCCAATTTTTTTTAAAAAAATTTATCTCTCAAAACCAAACCAAACAAACCCATTACTTTTTAGTATAAAAATTAAAAAATTATTTTAAAAAATTAAAAAGTAAAGGAATTATATAAAAAAAAACATTTTCGCTCTACTTTTCATATATTTTTCATAAAAAATTAAAAAATCATTCAAAACATTAATTTTTTACATTATATTTTAGTTTTAAAAAAATATATATTAAAATAAGCTATTCCTAAAACTAAAATGCGATTAAAGCTAGGATTATTTCCAAGCCAGGTTAACAAAATCCAGTAAGCTTTTCCTTTCCTCGTTTGTGGCGGGAAGGAGAGAGTGAGAGAGAGATGGAGTTGTGTAGGTGATTGGAGACGCAAAGAGAAGGCATAAAATGGGATTGGAAGTTCCTCTTCCCAAATGGGCGTCCGATCCTTGCATCATGGGCATCGACGAAGCTGGTCGCGGCCCTGTTTTAGGTTTTTCCCTCTTTTCTATTCACATATACATCATCATGTCTATATATCTATATATCTGTGTTTTTAGCTCTTATTTGCTTCAATTGGTTATTGTTTGGTGTTGGGTCTGATCTTAATTTCCTGGTAACTAGTTACTTTTTGTTATTTGCTTTCAGGACCCATGGTGTATGGTTGATTGTACTGTGCACTTTCATACCAAAAGACTCTATCCTCATTGAACTTTGCAGGTTAACACTTCAATTTTCCCCTCCTTGTATTTCCCATTTTCATATTTTGTTTAATTTTTGTATTTTGAGAATGGGAATGTAATTACTGATTAGCATAATCTGGGTTTCATAGGAAGGCACATATTTTGTAGTGTGAATATAATTATTTATGAATTGTTCAAATGGGTTTAAGTAGAGGCCACTTCAATCATAAGTATAAAAATGGTATTACCATAATTTGTTGATGTAAACCCTTGCATAGCATATATATATACATATTGTTATCTTCACAGTAGCCGCATTGTACTCTTGTCTTCTTTCAGTGCAGTGGAACTGGGTGTGAGATGTGGACGTAGGCAATATCACTGAATCAAGCAAATTTGTGTGTCAGTGTTTTCTTGTTTGTGATTGTTTCTCCTTGCTATTGTTCGTGTGTAGTGGTTTATTCCTCAACAACACTTGTACTGATCCAGTGCTAGCTCTGTTCTATGCTTCTGGAAATAAATTTTATGCTGAATGAAAAGTTATTGTTTTGCTCTTTATTTTTGTTTTTGATGACTTAAAAATTAAATGGGTTGATGCTTTAGCACCAAATTGATGAAGCGACAATTTTGCTTGTAGGAATCTTGCACTCTTGGACTTTAGTATGAAAGGAGGAATCAAGTCTTAGACTCACAGTATGCTTTCATTCATTTATTCGTCAGTGATAACTAATAGCTCTTTCCCCTCACGAAATATAGTATCAGACACAGACACACTAGCGTTTCTCCCACTCGATGGAATTTCTGATCTCTTATTTTATGCAGCTTCAAAAACACTGAAAGAAGAAAAGAGGGAGGAATTATTTGAAAATTTGAAGGCTGATGAATCTAGGGGTGTTCGCGGATCGGTTTTGTGCGGTTTGCGGTTCGGTTTTGACCCGCCCGCATGTATGCGGTTTGGGAAAAAGTCAAACCGCAACCACCCGCAGTGCAGTTTGCGGTTTGTGCGGATAGGATTTGCGGATGTGCGGGTGGTTGCGGACGGTTTGCAGTTTGGATTGTTTCCTTTAAAACTTAATTTTTGAGTTTTTTTTTTTTCCCATTTTGTAAATATTTATTTGGGTCATTTTCTTCCAATTTTCTAAAATGCTCAAACATTAATAATTAATGAATTAAAACTTATAAAATTAAAAACACAACAAAATCAATTCCTAACACAAACAAATCATTCAAAATCATTCGATATGCTCCAACATTAATTGTGTACTTGGCCCTCTGGGATTTATTTTAGTAAAGAAAAATGAATATCATTTAAAAAATAAATAAATAAATATGAACTTCCTTCAAACAGTATTCTCACTAATTTATTTAGTGAAAAAATCTTTTCTATAACCACCATGGGGAAACCATTAGACAGTCCCACAAATTGTATATCAATGCATTAAAGGTTGTACTCAATTAGAATTGTCAGTTCAGTGATCAATAATCAAACTAGAAGTTTCATTGAACACCAAAAGAAAAATTTTATTAGGAAAAAGTGGATGAGTCACCAATGAAAATCATATAAGAAACTAAGTTTAGGATTTGATAATTTTACGACATTAAGAAAGTTGAGAAATACTTAAAAATAAGGATCGTAGTGTCATAGAGAACATAATGGTGCTCCTGTTAAAGTTACAAAGTTGGTATATAAAAAAAAAAAATAATAATAATAATAATCAAAGTGCGGGCGGTTTTTGCGGGTTGCGGGTTTAACCTGCAACCGGCAAATTTGTCATATTTCAAACCGCATCCGCCCACATTATGTTTGCGAAACCGCCCATTTATATGCGGTTTGAGCAGTTCGGACGGTTCGGACGGTTCAGATAAACCGTTGCCCACCCTTAATCAAGAGCAGTAGTAGTTTTAGCTGATGAGATAATGGGAGCCACTAATTTGCCAACTGGCTCTAAAATATAGCAAAATGATGATCTGTATGTATTTGATCTACTCATAATCCATAAGTATGGCCAAGACTGAGCTTTCAAGGGGGCAAAGCTACAATCCAATGGAGTTTCCACAGATCTTTTGTTGGACTTCAATTATCTTTTTTTCCCATCTATCTCAGACTTGACCTAGGATTTTGGGATTAAAAGCTGGCATTGAAAATGATAGAAACCTTCAAGAATATATCCAAAAAAAAAAAAAAAAACACTTAAATTGTGCTATTTACCAAAATAAAATCTAAAGTAAGCAACTTTTAAATCAGCAAGAGTTAGACAATTACTTCGGTTTATGTGTTTTCGAAATCAAAAATCAATAATAAGTTTGGAAGCACTCTACAAATATTCAGAAAACAATTAATCACAAAAAGGGGCATTCACGAAGTTTTTTTTTCTCAAAAATAGTTTCCGAAAACAGTTTGCCAAAAGAGATTTGCATATCAGTTGTTTCTATTAAGAAGAAAAAATATAAAACAAAAACGATATTATGTGTAATGTGAAATTAGAACAAGTAAGAATTAAGCCCCAGTTTGTAGTCATAAAAGTAGTTAATCTAGGATTCAAAATGTTGTTTTACATTGTATAAACACACATGAAAAATCAACATGGCATTTCTGTTCAGGTCCAAATCGTTTGAAAATTAGCTAAATTTTCAATCAGCACAACTACATAATCCAACTCTCTACAATCTTTATTCCTTTGTTGTAAATCCCAAAAAAATTGCATCATCCCTAATCATTATCACCGTTGAACATCTCATACATCTTTTTGTCTCGCCTCTCTGATTCCTCACTTAAGTTTCGCTAATATTTGTGTGTTTAAGTTAATCTCACATAACAAATACAATCTTCTTCTAAATATACACAAAAATATTTCCTTTCAACTGGCTTCACTTTCTTTGAAGCCATTGTGTCATTGAATATCTCGAGTACAGAAAGGGAACTGAACTTCAGAATCTTTGATACATGCGTTGAAAAGTTGTCCATTCGTGGCAGCAAGTTAATAATTTTACATCACTTCTGTAGTTCTGGCATTGTCCTCGACTATTTTAGCCTTTGATTTTGCTGCTCGTGATGATCTTGATGAGGACGATTTAGGGGAGGAAGTTGATTTGATCTTCTTCCGCTTTGATTTTTTTGGAATGTTGGGAAGGTCTGTGGGGGGTACTGGAACATCTTTGAACATGTCAGCTGCTGGTTGCCGGTACATTGATTCAAAGTCTATTACAAAAAATAAAAAATAAAATAAAATATGAGAAGTGTAAACAAAAGTGTATGCAAAAGAGTAACCATAACATGCCCCCAAAAAAAAAAAAAATTGAAGATGTTGAATAAATGATTTTTCATTTTTCATGTTATTTTCTCAGCCAAGCAAACAAAAGTAGGGAATAAGCTTACCTTATTTCATCTTTTTACTTTTCCTTTTCTTACCCTTTACTTCTCCTTTCATTCAACAAATCAAGATTGAAAAATAGCACAGAGCAATTTCACTTGTGCCAATTTGAGCACATTAGCATAAGCTTAACTAAGCATTTCAATGGAAAGACTATTTACTTAATGATATTTTTATTTACAATGTATTTTCATTATTTTTTTTAATAAACCAAACGTAGGAATGAACATTCCTATGAAATGATCATTTTGCAAGATTACAAGATATTTACTTTTTCTAGGGGCATCAGTTTACAAACTTGAGAAAAAAACAATAGGTACACAAAACTTCACAGAAAAATAATCAAAATACTCCTTTTTTTTTTTTTTTTTTGAAGGAAGGATATATTGCATTCATAAAAGGGAGAATTACTACTCGAGCCACAAAAATAATTACAAAAGAGTTTGGGGTGCAACTTTTCCTGTCAATTTTTTCAAAAAAAAAGTTGCACCCACCACCCCTATGTAATTATTTTCTCCCCCTGCAACTGTCAAGTAATTTTCCCTTCATTAAAAAAAAAAATTAAACAAAAAAACCAAAGTACAACTTCCATAGATAATAGTTCCAACTTGCATTCAAAATACTATCTTGTGAATATTTGTTTTTTATTTATTGAATGTTATAGATAATATGTGGAAGTACTGTTATAGATTCCCCTAGCAATAGAAACATTGCCCCGTGACACAAGATCCAAACTTGGTTCTTCCTCTTGAAAGAAAATAATATAAGTATCCTTCTTCCTAGCTTACAAAACTAGCTCCAAATTTCACACAATGAGAGGACAAACCTCTCATCTCTCTCTCTCTCTCTC